TGAAGCTTGGAAAAAAATGATGAGATCATCAGCAAACTGAAGATGAGATAATCGGAAGGAATCTTCAGAATTCCCAATAAAAAAACCTTGAAAAAGACCTTTCTCAACTGCTTTATCGAGCATAAAATGCAACAACTCACCAACTATATTAAAAAGAAGGGGAGAGAGACTACAACCTTGTCTAAGTCCCTTAGCCATTGGAAACTCTTCTGAGGGAGACCCATTCACAATAACCGAAATTGAAGCAGAAGAGAGACACTGTGAGATCCACGAACACCATCTAGTACCAAAACCCATCTCCTTCATTGCTCTGTTTAATATTGGCCATTCAACAGAGTCGTACGCTCTACGAAAGTCAACTTTAAAAAAAACCCCTTGTAGTCCTTGTTTTCTCCAATAATCGATCCCTTCATTTGCAATAAAGGCACAGTCCAACAATTGCCTCACTGGTATAAAAGCAAACTGGAAAGGGATGATAAAGTCACCAACACAACCGCTTAGTCTCTTGGATAAGACTTTTGATAGTATCTTATACAAACTTCCTACAAGGCTAATTGGACAATAGTCTTTAACCTTTTCTGGAATTAAAATCTTTGGAATTAGAGTAATAAAGGAGTGATTTACTCCATGCTTCCACTTTCTTACAAAGTAAAAATCATTAAAAAATTTCAATACATGCTCATTTAAATTTGGCCAGCATTTCTTAAAGAAACCCATTGTGAAACCATCAGGACTAGGAGATTTAGAACTGTCTGAGGTTGCTATAGCTTGCCAAACTTCCTGTTCAGAAAACTGCTCCTCTAGTTTTGTAGACTGGTACCCAGACAGTTTAGAAAAATCCAGCAATAAATCCTCCACTTCCATTGTAGAAATGGAAATAAACGTTGTCTTGAAAAAAATTCGAAATGTGGGTCTTAATCAAGAACGGATCTAAACAACAGTCCCATTAATCTTCAGACTTGTAATTGCATTTCTCCTACTTCTATTCAGAGCGCAGAGGTGAAAAAATCTGGTGTTTCTGTCCCCTCCTTTAATCCATCTCGTTCTTGCTCTTTGAAACCAAATACTTTCTTCAATCCTGTACAGCCTCCAGAGATTCGATCTAAACTGCTTCACCTGATCCCACTCCTGAGAAGAAAGATTACTACCTTGTGCCTTTAATTCCAACTCATTAATTTGTTCTTCCAAGGTTACAATAGACTCTGAAATCCCATTAAATTTCCTGCTTGACCAGTTTCTGATTGATTTTTTAGTTCCCTGTAAGATACTGAATATACCCCTCCTGTTATTCCTCTTCATCAAATCCACCATTGAAGCTTTAACCAAATCCTCGAAGTCTTCTTCCTCTAATAAATAATTATAAAATCGGAAGGGTTTAGGCCCCCAATCTTCAGACGAATCATCCAAAGACACCGAATTATGATATGATATGGACCTAGACAGCAGTCTTTGAACTACATTCGGAAAGCAAGACAAAAAATTTCCAGATATTAAGAACCTATCTAGTCTGACCAAGTTGATTCTTCCCTGTTGTTGCACCAAGTAAAGGTTCCTCCGACCAACAGAAGATCAATTAAATTAGTTTGCTGAAGAAAATTCCTAAAAATATCAACAGAATGCCAGTTTTGAGACCTTCCCATCTTCTCTGCCGGATCAAGATACATTGAAATCCCCCCCAATACAAAGTAGATTCACTTGAGCTGAAACAAACTCCAACAATTCCCTGTAAAATTCTTCCTTTTCAGATTCAATGGAGGGACCATACAAATTCATAATGACATATTTTTCATCAAAATTCTTAAACTTCCCAAATATTGCAATAATCTGGCCACTTAGATAGCTATTGGACATTTTAAAATCATTCTCATTCCACATTACCAGTAGACCCCCTGCAGACCCGACAGCTGGGGAAAAATGCATCCCTCAAGAAAACTCCCCCTTATCCTTCTCTTAAGAGCCTTAGAATAGTTTTCGAGCTTTGTTTCCTGAATAAGTAGAATATTCGGCTTGTTCTTCTTGACCAAATTAGCTACAACTCTTGATTTTTCATTCTTCCCCAAACCCCTTATGTTCCACGAAATAATGTTAATGTTCCTCATAAAGATAACAAATAACCCAAAAGCCTCTGATCAAATGATCACAAAAACATATTCCAATTATTTCAACACTTCTACTAACCCCCAACCCCTCTTCAAGATCCATAATTTTATCTAAAAATGCCTTCTTGCCTTCTTTGAAAGAAATCCCCAGTATCCTACTAACCTCCCACGTAGCCACTGCTTCTTCCAAAAATATCGAAAAAGATGGAGAAGTAACTGTAGGTACGCTAGCCATATCCAAAGCTTCCCTAGTCAAAATCCTTCCTTTTCTCCTACCCTCTCTCCCTTTCCCAGCTCGAGACTGACAACCTAATCGTGGCACTTCTAAACTCCCTGAATGCTGATCCATGTCCCCTACTGCATTTCGAAGAGAACCACCTTCCTCATCATCGCTAATTATACCTTTCTCCGCTATAATTGGGAATGATTGAGTGCTCAAAATAGGATTAGAAACATTTAAATTTTGGTCCTGCAACTCAGCTGGTCGCAACAGCTCTTCTTCTGTATTGGGATTATACCAGAATTTTCTTTCTTTTGATCTTCCATAAACTCTATTACATGTTCCTCTATTCCATCTTCCCACCGGAACACTCCTAATAAACAAACTTCTCGACAGATGATCCAACAGACTCCAACTCCTTAGACCATTAGAAAGCGTTCCTTTAATTAAATCCAGTGACTGAGTTTCAGCATATTGAACTGATACATCTTCCTTTTCCTCCTCAACTCCTTCAGCAATCCTAACTTCTTTATCCCAGACCACTACATCCGTTCGCACTTCATGGTTAGGCTTATTCTGTTTCCTGTTTAAAATATTAATAAATATGCCTTTGGACCCTTCATCTATCCATTTTATATTAAACGCAGGCCCTGAAGGACACCAATTCTTCATACTTGATTCAGAAATCAAATTTTCATCTTCTTGGGCTTGAGAATCAAGGCCCAATTCTTCCCTCAAACCAAGTCCCACGTGATCCCCTAAAGGATATTTTCCTTTTCCAAGAAAATATGACATCCCAAAATTTGAGATATCCTTGTTTGACTTTTAGGTATAACCTGCTCCATATCCCCATTTTCCAACCTACTTCTCTGTTCCTGATCAAGGCATTTGTTTACCTTCAGCATAGAGTCGTCAGGCAACTTGTGATTTCCAACTTGATCCAAAGTCAGACGGCGGCCACCCTCTTTCTCGGAAAACTCATTTTCACTGTACCGATTTTGAAACTACCGATCCCAATATGGCTTTGACTTTGTATGATCTGTTGTAAGACCCTATTGTGACCGATTCAGGGACATCAAACGAACTAGCGACCCTGATCAGAACTCTTGCCGATGATAAGTCTGACCTCTTCTTTGAAGAATCCATGATGCCGATGAACTTTCCCCATTTCTGAACAAGTTTCTCCAAGAACTCCCCATTCCAGCATAATAACGGTAATCCTATTAATTCTACAAGACAAAACGCCAATGGAACTCCCTCCTCATTCAACAATGGCTCTAACCAGTCAAACCAATAAAACAACTCCTCCTGTTTTCTTTCCCATATATCAGAGTACTCTTCAATCGATTTAAATGTTACAACACAGGCATTCCATGCGTAGCCCCATCTCGCTATTTTTACCAGAATTCCTTCAGTCACCAAGGCTTTCTGAACAAATTCCTGCTCGAAGGAATGCCTGATTACCCCTGTTAAGGACCTTTTCACCCAGTTCGAATCCTCCGAAGGGATATGCAACTCCTAGACATTCCTTAATCCATTTGCAGCCTTCACTGACCTTTGTCCATCTTCCTTATTAACATGTTCGCTAACCTCTCGATTGGTCGTTTCCACCACCTCCTTGTATGATCTACTATCCCTCAAGTTTCTCGAAGATCCAACATGATTCTCACCATTTGTTTTCTCCACCCTAATTGGGAATGACCCATCCCTCATAGTCTTACCTTCAGTAGCTTCTCTATTTCTGTTGTTCTGATATTTTTCTAACCCTACTGAAACTCTTTTCCCATTAATCCAAGTTCCGTTAACAAACTGGATAGCCCTCCTCCTCCCTTCCTCGCTTGCAAACTGAACAAACGCGAAAGTATAATTCGTGTATTTCGGTTTCTGAGTATAATTTGGAATGAAAATCCTCACAACTTGATCGTAATGCTGAAATATTTCCCTTAATTCTCCTCTTGTTACCCTCTTACTAAGATTATCAACGAAAATCGTCCATTTCTCCCCCACAGAAGACTGACCTTTCACTATTTCTCTCTCTAAGTTTTTGACTCTCTCACTCATGTTTTTTCAAAAGGCCCCCTTTTATGATTTTTATGATTGAGTGAAATTGAATTTTATGTTCTACTATTGTGTATTATATCGATTTTCATTGCCATGTCTCATGTCAAATTTAACGATCCCCATGGTTGTTTCATTCAAGTAGTCAGCTTTCAATATATTAAGTTCACACAATAGATTCTTTTCATATGAAGTTTTTTTGAACAAGCTAGTGCTTTTTGATCATTTAATGCTCTATAATGCATCTTGCATCTCTTTGAATAACAAATATCTTCCTTGCTCAAGCTTCTGTAATAGTTACAAGAAATCACCTTGAAACTTAGTACAAAATTGTGCCACCAGCTTGAATGGAGACCTCAGTATACAGAATTCTGCTATTTAGTTTATTATAAGCCCTGAGATCAGTTCATTGTTAATATAGCATAAACCATTGGATTTTCTATATTCATTCTGGGGGATTGGTTTGAGGGTTTTACGATACTGTTTAGGGACTCGTGGCTTTTTGGAAAGCATTGTAATAGAATGTAAAGCTTCACCATCCTTTGGACGGGGTTGTGTTCTTTTAGGTAATCTGCTGGTATTTCAGTTCTATCATCAACTACTTCATCCTATTAAATTTGTAGGTTCTGCATGGCCTGCTTAGTAGAGACAATCAGAAAGAAGGAATTTCTATACCCATTGGAATTATACCAGCAGGTTCAGATAATTCACTGGTTTGGGCTGTTCTTGGAGTTAGAGATCCAGTCTCTGCTGCGCTTTCTATTGTGAAGGTAAACCTGCTTAGGAAATTCAAGATGATATTTGCTTTAACTTGCTTAGGAAATTCAAGATGATATTTGCTTTACTTTCTGGTTGTTTTGTTTCTTCCTTTATAGATTGATTTTCAAAACCCTTTTGAAACATGGGTCTGAAATTGCGTAATAACACCTTAATGACCCTAACACGTTGCTATGCAAAGTTTGGGAGAAATATCTCATGCTATAGCATTTCTGTTTGTGGAAACTTTTTTTCAATAACCATGGAGATAAGGAGTTAAGATTTAAGAACAACACATGCTTCTTGTTATGGATACATTAAATGCCTAGTAATCTTTTTGTTGCCTACAATTATGGTTCTCCCTTATATGTTTCAGGGAGGTCTTACAGCTACAGATGTTTTTGCTGTTGAGTGGATTCAGACTGGTATTATTCACTTTGGAATGACGGTCTCCTATTATGGTTTTGTCAGTGATGGTATGTACTGGACCTGATCCCCCTGGCTGATACAAGTCTGCTGGTTCCTTATTTAATCAACCTCTGTTCTGTTCTTACAAATATTTCTTTTTTTCCCCTAAATGTGGTCTACGCTTGCTTTTTTGATGCTTCAGTCTAACATGCATCACCATTTCAGCATGCGGTCAAATTAATACTTACTATGATGCCTAAGTTTCGAGTGCGAGTTACACTTGTTGACCATGATTATCCTTTTAGAGTGACTTGAGCATTCATCCTCACACATGTTGCTATCATGCAACAATTGTGACTGCTTTTCGTTCTCACTTGTTTCTTATTCCCTCACTGTAATGAAAAAGCTATTTCTGTACCCATCCTTGTTTGTTCTCCCTTCATCATAAGTAATAAATGTGTCTATAATGGAAATCACATATCAGAATTATTCCTAGATGAGCCATCTTTTATCATTTGCAGATTTTGGTGGAATATTTTGGTATTAAATTGCCTATTTAAGGTTGAGTACCTTTTGTACGCCTTTACTTTTATCTTAATCCTGAACTAGAATAATTTCAATTTTAGAATAATTTCATTTTTATATACTCGTGTTCAGATGTTTCTGTTTACACTGAATTTGTATTCTAGTGACTATTTGGCTTTGATCTTTATTGTTAACAACAGTAGAGGAAAATTAGACTCAAAGAATACATACATGATTTTCTGTGTATAGAATGAGTGAAATCCTTTATTAGCATATACAGTGTAAGTGATGTGTGCATAAAATGATGTCCTCATCTTTTATGGTCTCTTAATTTGGGAATTTTGATCGTCTGTTTCTCTCATGACTTTCAGTGTTAAAACTTTCTGAGAAATATCAGAAGCAATTTGGTCCTCTACGATATTTTGTTGCTGGGTTCTTCAAGTTTTTGTGTTTGCCAAAGTACAACTATGAAGTGGAGTACCTTCCTGCAGAAAAAGAGGATCGAGAAGGTCAAGAAGTAGTTGACATGTCAGACCTGTACACAGACATTATGAGGAGGTCAAACAAAGAAGGCATTCCTAGGGCCTCGAGTTTATCTAGTATTGATTCAGTAATGACTCCAAGCCGAATGTCTGGAGGTGAGATAGACACTTGTAGTAGCATTCATGCCAGCTCCGAACCATCTGAGTTTGTACGATGCCTTGATCCTAAGACTAAACGGCTATCATCTGGAAAAAGAAATGTAACAGCTGAGCCAGAAGTTATTCATCCTCAGTTACCACTCTCATCGACTCTAAACTGGCCAAGGACCAGATCTAAATCAAGGACAGATAAAGGATGGAGTGGATTGACTGCAGCACATGATCCTTCGAGATGTTCTTGGGGTAATGCTGCAACAAATGATAGAGAGGATATATCTTCGACATTGTCTGATCCTGGTCCAATTTGGGATGCTGAACCAAAGTGGTACAACGAGGCTAATTGGGATGTGGAAAATCTGATTGCGTTACCAGGGCCATTAGATGCTGAGTCAGGAATAAACAAGGAAGTTGTTCCAAGACTTGAAGATAAATGGGTTGTGACCAAGGGACCATTTCTTAGCATCATTGTGTGCAACCATGCATGCAGAACAGTGCAGAGTTCTCAGGTGGTTGCTCCAAGAGCTGCACATGATGACAACACCATGGATATGCTTTTAGTTCACAGGACCGGGCGACTGAGGATGATGAGATTTTTTTTGCTGCTACAGATGGGTAAACACGTTTCACTGCCATATGTTGAATATGTCAAGGTATGAACATCATTTTTCCTTTAGTCAACAAACAGCCTCATAATTCAAACCTATAAACTTTATTGTTGAGCCCCAAGATTGTTGTAAAAGTTGTCACTGCAGAGTTGTTGCTGGTTTGACCATGCATTTTGTTGTATGTGCACTGTTTTCACACAAGGATAGTTTCCCCATGCTCTTTGATTTGTTTTGGGATAAATATGCAGATTCCTATGTTAGATCAGTGAATTGGGTCCAATCCAATATGCATATAAATATTGACACATGATTTAACTTCCACTGAAACGCAGGTGAAATCAGTTAAGATTAAGGCTGGGAAACACACACATAATGGTTGTGGCATTGACGGTGAGTTTTTCCCCCTCAACGGACAAGTAGTATCGTCTTTGCTTCCGGAACAGTGCAGACTAATTGGTCGCTTCCCCGAACGACATGTATAATGATTAAAAGATGTGCTTTTTGAAAATTTCTTTTTGTCGATGCCGATGCTCTCTTCTCTACTATTGAGTATCCTTATACTAAACAATGTCTTGTGATATATTTTACATGTTAATCCCTCCCCATTTGCGCCATTATACATACAGTGAGGATCCCTGTAAATTTTTGTTGGGTTTATGTATCTTTTGCATGTTTATTTAACTTTTTACTCATGGTAAATACGTTTTTCTCTTGTTTGACCGTGTGACTCTAAGATTCTTAATGTATGAAAATTTATCCTTCTTTTATAGATCAAATCGTTTGCACAAGTTCTTTTATAGATGGTGCATGTGTATGATGATTTTGCTTACAGTAAATGACCTTGATATCTGTTTACGATTTTGAAGCTTATTTTTTTATTTGTTCATGTTATATCCGTCGGATTATTATTATTATTTTGTGCTAAAGTGGTTTGGTCGGATCCTAGTTTAGACTGTGTTGGAGATTAGGTCTAATTTTTCCCATCTGGCTGATTGGTTATTGGTGCGGGGATTTGATTGTGTTCTACGGGATATATATTTATTGATTTAATCACAAGATAGTATATGTTCTCCTTTCGTAATGAATATGTATATGTTCATCTTTCTTAATGAATATACATCTTGTAGACGGAGTTGTTTAAACCCTAGACCGAATAGCATTTTATTTTAATCCTTGAGGTCATTGAATGGGTTTGGAGTTAGTGAAATATCAAGTACAACGCTACCAAAATTAGAGGCCAATTAGTCGGATTTTAGAGGACAAAAAAATCTATTACAACTATACCAAAGTTATTTGATTTAAGATTTCCATATTCCAATTGAGAAATCTGAAGAAATCCACCGGCTGAAATTGTAGAACAAATACAAGAGAACTGACATTGAAGGTCCTGTCCAATACGATATAAAGCAGTAAAGATCGGTGACAAGAAGTCTCCATACAGCCAGCTTGGATTCAGCCGTTTGAGGGGGAAAAATCGTTTTCGACAAGTGGTACCTGTCGGAGATACCGCAAGCCAAAGCAAATGAAAGAAGGCGTTTGTTGGTAAAAGATGACTACCGAGTAAGGCATCTTTGGCTCCTTCTTCGGCCACCTTTGGTTCTTTCATCACTTGCCGCAATGCAAAACCGTCTCCGGCAGTCGAATCGAGGATTATGACTTTGAAATCAGCATTGTTTCCTTCCCCTGTCGGGCAAAGGCTGACTTAAGAACGGTATAATTGGTATTAAGCCCCCAACTTTAGTTTGAATGATCATTTAGCCCCCCCTTTTTTGGAGCACTTTAATCCTTAGTGTTTCAATTTTTTTGGGTCAAAATGACCCCTACAGGATGGAAACAATTAGTTGATAACAATCACTATGTTACTAACATGAAATTTCTAAATTTATCAGGAACGGAGCTAGGATTAAATATTAAAAGAGGTCGAAATATTAAAATTTTTAAGAAGAACACAATAGTTTATTAGATATTTAAACTCAAAACTCAGAAGACGATGTCTAGTTTCTCTGATATATATAAATTTACAATGACCTAAAAAAATTGAGAATATGAGATTATTTTTTTAATTCAGCTCTACTTGATAAAATATTTGATGAAGTTTTGTACTTTTTTTAATTTGAATACTTATTTTTACATGAACCAATGTACTATTAGACTAAAATTTATCTAATATAAAAATTTTACAGGTGCTAGAGCCGCAACATAATTTTGTCTTTGTATCTTATGTTCCATATCTCTGGTACATATCAGGTCAACAAAAACACATAAAAATGTTATATCAACAAAATATCGTAGTGGTACTATTTTCAAAACACTAAATCACAAATGATTCCCGTGAACTTGTTTTGGTAGTGAATTGATTGGTGAGTGTGTAAGTGACTAATGTAGTTTGTATCCTTAAAGGTAAATTTCGTTATTTTATTATTTGTACCCACCCTAAGATTCTATTCATATTTATATTATTAATATGCGTGCTCATCTTATAGAAAATATTTCTAGAGGGAGACAAATTGTAAAGAAGTGACTGCTATTTATGTGCAAAAGTTGGAGACTTGTGTTCCGACAATCTAAATTCATTTGGAGCAAATCAAATAAACTGTTTGCTGAACCTGTCTAATCTTCATCTTAATCTCCTTTATAAAACCTAAAACTTTTGATAGTGGTGGCAATCATGATTTGCCTTTGATACCTTAATCAATGTTGAAGTGGTTGATGCTTCATTTTGAAAATTTAAAGGGTGCAAATAATTACTCTAGTCCTTAAAATGTAGGCCTAGTCCAAGATTCTGTTTTATAATTCAATTTTTCATTGCTGGCAGTGCGCTACAATCAATGTGAAATTTCACTAGGACAAATATCATCTCAATTTTGGTTCCATATATAATGTTAAATATTAATTTTGTTATTTAATTTTAATTCAGTTATATATATAATACTTTAATTTTGATTATACTCCACGGCAGCTGCTCATTTGGTGGAGGACAAATCAGAATACACAAAGAAAGCATTTGAGTTCACGCATGAGAAATCAAACTTGGCCCCGTTTTCTAAATCTACTTGTTTAGTTAACGAATTATTCCGTTTTGATATCTCAATTGATTTTTTTAAAAAAATTATATCTAATGTTAAATTTTGATTTCAGTTTAATCATCCATAATTAAAAAATAATAAAAATATGAGTGATAACTTTTCATTTTTTTGTTTTTTCCAATAATATTATAAAATTACTTTATGACAATATGTCAACATAATAGTCCGCGGGTTTTGACAGTGCGGGCTTAAACGGTGCGGTTTAAAAAGCTCGCAATCATAAACTGTTTTGAATTTTAAGGTCCGCGGCCCATCCGTTTCATCTGTTTAACCCGCGGGTTAAACAGGCTTACCCGCGGCCCGTTAAATAAAAACAATTTTAAATGCATTAAATGCAATAAAAAATAATGTTCTAACTTGTTACACCTTTAAAAATGATTCAGTAACTTAAAAAGGAAGGTAGCACCGTCAAAATAATAAATAATATTTAAATTTTATTTTAAATAGTTTAAAATTATTATAAAATAATATTTTTTTAATTTTTTAATCATTAATATATATATATATATAACGATATAATTACTTAAACTTAAATTTAAAAAAAACAATATTCACTTATATCACCAAATTGAAAAACAAATAAAACAATAACCATGTTATACTTTTATAAAAAAACGATTATTTAAGGCTATAATATGAAGACACAGAAGTGTCTGCAAGCAGAAATTTAAACAGAAAAATTCAACAAAGTCAAACATTATACAAATCTAACAATTTTTCTTTTGTAAAAGCCTTTAAAAGTTGAAAAGTATGTTTTCAATTGTAAATTTTATAAGACTAAAATACTATATAAATCTTTTAACTTTTACTTTTTAAAATGAAGAATAATTTGATACATTGTAAATGAAAAAAAAAATTATCAAGCAACGGTAGAATTATGACAAATACCCTAATAAATTTAAGAACTACAATGGTTATAAGTAACATCATATTTATAGGTAATTTATTTTCTTTTTCTATAAAATTCTTTAAGTTTATTTTCTCTAAAATTTTATAAATTTTAAATTGAGCAGGCTATTGCGGGCTTCGCGGGCTACCCGCAGTTATACCCATTAAGCCCGCGGATTTAACGATCCGGGCTAAAAAGCCCACAATTTAAACGATCTTCAGTTTTTTATGTCCAAAACCCGCACGGGACGCCCGTTAAACGGGTAGCTCGCGGGCTTAGCCCATATACCCACCTCTAATTATGAGTTTGTAAGGTTAAGAAAGAAAGGGAAATGAGCAACCAAACTTGGCCGCACGTGCAAAGTGCAAACTAACCTGTTCGACATGTAATAAATTTCCCATATGTTTCACTTTACCTTGCAGGAAGAGAAATATGCACTCGAGAATTATTATCTGTTGAAACCTCAACCTTCTAGAAATTTCCCATCAGATACATATGGTTTTGTAGGAAGTTTTCGCTATGGAACATGGACTTAAATTGGGTCGTATTTTTAGTAGCGTTACCTTTATTGTGATTACGGTAATAGTGTGGGTACTATTGTAATTATAACGGATATTAAGATTGTGCAATAACGATTTTAGACAACATCTTCAACAGTATATAATGACCACTATTCTAATAACGAGCTGTTATTTAAATCCCTATTATGGAATGATAATATGATAATAGCCCCATCAAATACCAATTGAGTTTAAGTCCCACAAGCTCAAAAGTAATGAACTAACATGGAGCTTGAAGAAATAATCTCAATTAAATTCCACGTTTGTTTCACCTCACATATGCCACCATTTTTTTATTTTTCATTGCCTTGACAAGTTCATCTGCTAACGATGAAAAGTTTTCAGCCCTGCTTTGTAGCTGATTCTCTGATACAACCATAACAAACCACAACCAATTTGAAAGAAGAGCTAGGGTTTTTGTCGGAGCAACTAACTTCAATGACCATAATAAAAGTGAATTAAAGGTTTAGTGATTGCATTACAAGTTTTAAAAGTTTGATAACCAAAATAAAAGAATCCCTAAAATTTGAAGGATCATTTATATAATTTATCCTTTTGAGTTAAAGATGGAAATAACAAGTAACACTAATTTATCAGGAAAATTCTGCGACGCTCGATGAGCGGCGATGATCACCAATAGCAATGAACACTGATAAATTAAATTGTAAAACGATAAAATTATAAGGTATTTAACGTATAATTAAATTTTACTTAAAAATGTAAATGTAATTTTAAATAAATCACAATTTTAATTTTTTTAATATTTTTTGTATAATTAGTTCAAATAGTAATCTCTAACTACAAAATCCAATTTTTTAAAAAGTTGTGATTTTCTCATCGCCACAGTCGGTTCGTCTTCCTCCTTCGATTGAATCGTTATCATTCATCCCTCCCGATGTGGACGCCGTTCACTGCTGTTTGTGCAACCAACCCTTTGAGGTAAGCTAGAATAATTTTATTTTGATCAAAATTGGTGTTTTGTTCAAGTCATCACCGGAGAGTGTGGCTAACCGACTGTTGGCGCCTTCACCAGCAGTGGTCGTGGTTACCACTGTGGGAGTTCCCCTTCTCATTGTTTTTCCCTAATCCCAAATTTCCTAAACTCTAACCTTAATTTTAAAATTCCTCCAATTGTATAACCCAATTTCTTAATTGATTTCCAAAATTCCCATCCTAGAACCCCG